ATTCTAAATGGCTCAAGCCTTGATTCAGCCTTCCATCTTTCCGAGGTCAGTAAAATGAGAACCCAGATTGTTGGTGAAAATATGTTGACCCTGTAAATCAGGGGTGTCAAACCTGCGTCGTCACAGCGTCATCACATGATGTATCGGGACTCCCCCCATGACACATCTGGCCTGTGGGCCGAGAGTTTGACAGCCCTGCTGTAAATGATTAGAAAGGTCTGTAGAGCACTATGAAGTGGCATATAAGTCTAAGTGCTATTGCTAATTATTCTTATTTCTCTGCTTATAGGCATTGTTTAAAAAGAACTTGTCCATTCCAGCAACTGAAGTGACAATCAGCAATGGCTAATTTAAAAAGTGCCCCATTACAATAATGCTCCTGTGCTATTAGTTTACCCACAGAGCTTGCAAGAGGCTTTGAAATGCAACTCAGGAAGAGCATCCTTGCAGACAGCATCCCCCTCATATAAATTATTCTGATTGGTTTTTCCAGGGCTAACATATCTGGGTGAAACATCTGGGCTTAACATGAGCTGAATTGGCAAAGGGAAGGCAGAAGTAGCAAATTATTTCCTTTTTATGTGTTGTGGGATGTGTAGGGAGATTTTATTTATTTTTTGCTTCTGGACTTGAGATAGCCCAAGAGCGATACTAAGTGGATGACTTGCTTTTTGCTCTTCTATTGGCTGGCTGTTAGGTAGGTACCGATTGGTTCATGAAGGGTTTTCAGGTCTTAAGGTTGCAGAAGTGTTATTAGTTTCCAACAGTTTTATGATGGACTGGCAAGAGAAGCAGTCTGGTGTAGAACAATGCTTCAGTACAACTCTTTTGATTTTACATATTTTAGGTCTTTGATATATTAGATGCTGTCTCAAAAAGTCTAATTGGAAACCCAGCAGTGCACTTTACATAAGTACTTTAGATTACAAAATCAGGATATAACTTGCTATTACAGTTGGGTAGTGTTTCAATTGATTAGAAAAGAAATAGTGCTATTGTACAATTAAAATAGATAAATGTATTACAATGTTTTGAACCTAGTATGTATTGATTTATTGGAAATTATTAATTATACTTATCTACTTCAGAACTCTCTTCAGAACTTTCATTAAGGTCTGGGAAGATATATTTTATTCTATTTATTTACTGAAATCTTGCTTCCTTGAACAGTTATTTTAAAAGGGCTTTTTAATTTAATACAAATTATAGATTTAAAAGTACAAGTAATTGAAAAGGAGATGAACGGTACTGAGTTGTTATATGTTCTTCTCAAATATTTTTAATCACAAAGTAGCATGCACCTTCATATAGGAAATAGTTTGCTGTAGTGGCTTATTGATTTACAGGGGGGAGGGGGAGAGAGAGGGGGAGAGGGGNATTTTTAATTTTATTTTAAATAATTAAATGGAATTGTTACACTGTCCCATGGCGAATTCTGCTCTGGAGGAGACAAGCAGGTATTTGGCCACTGACTTTAACCTCAGAGAAATCTTCCTGATGTCATGACCCGAGCTCAGGACTCAGATTCCGAATCTGAAGACACTGCTCCAGTTGACCCTGGGAAGGCCAGCTTCAAGAGATACTGTCGAGAATCACATGAGGCTGATCCAACACAGGCGCCACCTGGACCAGAAAGGTGATGTTGATGACATCAGGCCTCCCAGTCCCCACACTTGGAGTGAAGAGCAGAGCAATGCAGGTCTACGAAGCTTCTGTTCAAAAATACTTTGAACATTCCCCGTCTAATTCTTTTCTCAGTGAACCTTCTGCTCTTAGGCAGACGCCCCTTGTAATCCCAAACCATCCCTACCTGCTTAATTCTCATTTCACATTGTCCTCTACACACACACACACATACACACACACACCAGAATAGGGAAGCTAGGAATATAATGTGAGACACTTTCCAGAAAGTTGTTGGAAGTGAGCACATTTGTGGAAACGGAGAAGGTGGAAAAAAACCCTAATTCTTCTAACCCTTCTAAATTTGCAATCCTATACGATATCTGGCTGTGGATATGATAGAAGTATAGATAGTATGGACAGGCCTCGACTTACAATCACAACTGAGCCCCAAATTTCTGTTAAGTGAAACAGTTGTTAAGTGAGTTTTGCCCCGTTTTACGATTTTTCTTCCCATGGTTGTAAAGTGGACCACTGCAGTTATTAAGTTAACAACATGGTTGTTAAGTGAAGACGGCTTCCCCATTGACTTTGCTTGTCAGAAGGTCACAAAAAGGGATCACACAACCCTGGGATGCTGCAACCGTCATAAATGTGAGTCAGTTGTTGAGCGTCTGAATTTTCACCATGTGATGCTGCAATGATTGTAAGAAAATGGTCATACATTACTTTTTTCAGGACTGATGTAACTTTGAATGGTCGCTAAATGAACTGTTGTAAGTTGAGAACTCTCTGTATTCTCTCTGTATGATGGGAGCAAGTCTTTAAAAACTTACAGTTTTAATCATGCTCAGACATGATTTTGGACCTGCTAAAAATGGGCCTGGAAGACTCATGCAACTCACTTCCTGCAGTCTTCATGTGTGGAGTTTGCACTTGTGAATGTAGGTTTAGAGTTTCCATATGACTGAATTATTGAGAGTTTTTCCAGAACTTGGTTTCTTCTTCCAGCTGGGTCAGGAAATGTGCTATGGAAGTTGGCCGTGTTGTCTGGGGTTCCTGGACTTGCATTCTTAACCTGTCTGGTGAGCCAACATTGTCTGCTAAACTAACATTAACAATTTCTTCATTCTTGCGGCATTATCAGTAACTGTCACTTTTTGTAATTAAAGTTAAGATTGTATCTTCACCACTATGATTGGTTGAATTTTGGGGAGAGAAAAAAAACCCTCTGGAGAAAAATGGTTTAAAGCTGGAATGGAATTCTAATTGAACGGAATTCAAAATGCTTGATGTCATCTTGATGTCTTAGCAGACGGGATTGCGTGCCAAATGAGCGCTTTGCTCTTTTATTCTGGACTCTGGGGGCTTCTCACGACACGAACAGAGCCTGATTTGAGGCTGGGCATATTTTAATTGTGGATTTAATTTCTCAAATATTTACCTTGGTACAAGAATTAAAACAAATGTTGCGAAAAGTCTGGGATTTTGCTACATAATGAAAATGAAATGTGTCTGCGGCAAATAGACATACATTTTTGATGTTCTGGAAAGTCCCCCAAGGGCTTAACTTGCATTTGGATTAAGTTGGTCTGCTGGTCCCAGATGTGGTTTTCCTGGTGTGGCTTGATGACATCTGAGTCAAAAGGGATGCTTCTTTCCAGGTGACCTCTGCTGACCTCTCTCAGTATTGTTTGTTTGATAGTAGGACATTTTTTTAGTTCTTATTCTGGCCTCCAATTCTGGATTTTTTGTGGTTTCCCATGCAGGTGCTAAACAGCCAGAGATGTTGGCAAGATATGGTCAAAAAAACCAGTATTGTTGTGATCAAAGATTTGCCTTGGGTTTGTCTAGTCTAGTGAATGAAGGACTAGGGGAGACATGATAGCAGTCTTCCACTATCTCAGGGGTTGCCACAGGCTCAACCTATTCTCCAAACCACCTGAAGGCAGGACAAGAAGCAACAGATGGAAACTAATCAAGGAAAGAAGCAACTTAGAACTAAGGAGAAATTTCCTGACAGTGAGAACAATCAACCAGTGGAACAGCTTTGCCTTCAGAAGTTGTGGGTGCTCCATCACTGGAGGCTTTTAAGAAGAGGTTGGACAACCATTTGTCCAGAATGGCATAGGGTCTCCTGCTTGATTGGATTAGAAGACTTCCAAGGTCCCTTCCAACCCTGATGATGGTGATGACAAAAGTGTCCTCTCTGCAGCCTTTGGAGAGGTCACTTGGATTTCACTTGTGTAATTATTCAGAAGTAGAACTCCAAGCAGCCCTTTTATGTTCTTGGTTTAGGTCTAAACCCACTAAAAGAAAGTGGACAGTCGGGGATTTTGCTGTGCAATTTTTTAGCACAGTACTGAGGAGGGAGAATCAACTTCTTCTAAGGCTGTAGAAACTTGTCCACATATGTTCTCCTAGTTTCTGCTCTGCTGTATGAGTTTCTCCTTCAGACACTTGTATCCCTCCCTCCCTCCCTCCCTCTCTCTCTCTCTCTCTTTGGCTGTGGTGTGCTCTCCAAGCTTCTTTCAATTTAGCTTCTGAATGTTTCGTTACCAGACTAGGTAACATCATCAGTACGATTTTCTTGTCCTATTCTCCTTAGCTTATAAATGTCTTGTGTGCCAATGTGGTCAGTTGGTTGCATGATTGATAGTTCATTTGGAGCTATATTTAAATACTGAGCAGCTGGTTGGTTGTTCTCGTGGTTTGGTTTCTTATGTATTCATACTCTGGATATAGATCAATATGTTAATTGCTGCTTTGGTAGAATACCAGCCTTCCATAAATTCACATGTGTGGTGAGTGGTGGGTGCTGGCTTGGCCAATTGAACAAGTTATGTAGATTCTTATGATGCTATTTCCTAGATACAACATGTTCATGGCTGACATAGCTGAGTTGCACAGCCTTTAGCTCTGAATTTTTATTTATTTTTCTTCTCTTTTCAGCTTTGCTGCTTCTCTATGATGTCACAAACCGAGCATCCTTTGACAACATTCAGGTAAGTCTTGAGGACTCCAGACAGTTCATGTTATTGCAAAGATGCAGGTGCTCAAACACTGAGTCTATGTAAAATAAGTCCTGCAGCAGGGCAGGTGAAGCTTGTTTGGCACTTTTCTTTTTCTGAATAAAGGTGACTATGTGTGTCTCAGGATAATGTTGCAGGATCCAATCTGGGTCGGTCACTGGGACCAGAGGTTTAGTGTTCCGAGCTTTCAGACTCATGCTTAAGCCTGCCCTCAGGGAATTTTTCTCCACAGTTTATGTGCTTTGGACTATTCTATTTGTGGTACAGTATTTATGTGGTGCCTGGTTGTGTGTAGCTTTTTAGATGTTGGTTGGGGTGTTGATGGCCAGCTATTAAGTTGTTGGCTGTTGTTTCCTTGTGCTATCAAGTCCTCTGCTCCTAATATGTGATATGCTGGTGGTAAATCAGCACTCCTGTTGATTGACAAGAGGCCCATTTCCCAGGCTTCAATCATTTCCCTAGCTGTTTTTTAGCCTGCTCATCCAACAATCTGCAAAAATCAATGTGTGTCCTTGTTCATTGCAATGTGAGGCTAGCAATGAGTTCCTGGTCTGACCACTCACTTATATTCTTGTCGTCTAGTGGTTAGTTTCCTCCCCATCTGTCCTATATAGTCACAGGGAAAATCCTTTCAGGGAATCCAGTGGATTACATTAGAAGTATCTCCCGCTTCCGAGCAATCTTTGCAGTGCATGATTTGTCCTCCTATGGTAGCCTCTGGACAGTGTATGATGCCCACTTGCAGATCTCAGAAGCTGCATTCTTCTGCTTCTGAAATGTTTTTGATGCATAGCATAGTGTGCTGTGTGGTTGGTCTTGTACCTTGTTTTTTTCCTTTCTCTCCCCTATAATCTGAAAGCTTGGAAGACCAAAACACTCATTCTGGTAACCAACCCAGATTGGCTTCTGCAACTTCTTTTTTTCCCCATGATGAGCTTGCTGGTTCTCATCCTCTCTTCCTTGAAACATGGAAGAGAGTGAAAGAAAGGAGGAACTGTAGCATGCTAGCAGCAAATTTGAAACCGCTCCGCTCTTCTGTCCATTTCTTCTGATGTGAATGATTTTTTTAAAAAAGAGATCTCTTGTAGGGAACCAGCTCAGCTGGTGGATTTGCCAAGGTGAATCCTTCTCTTCTGGCTTCTCCTGATCTAAAGCAAGTTTGGTCTTCTAAGTTTGTGGGGCACAGAGAAGCCCACTTTTCCCAAATGGAACAAGCGCAAAGCTTTATGGTCTTCTTCTTGAACTTGGGGCTCAACCGCTTTCATCCCTCTGCCTCTTAGCGCTCCGTAATATGCAGCCCTCCTGCTGACATTGTTCTTGGTTCTTTGGCATTGCTTGGCATCTCTGTCCGTGCAAAGTTAGATGTTTATCAAGTGGACTGATAATTGCAGTGTTCTCTCTCCCTCTGCAAATAAAGAATTAGACATTTGCCAAATTAAATACTTTCCGCTGCTGGTGAATACAAAATCACAACCTCCAGCTCAGCATGGTTCATTCTTTTGAGTTTGGATGCCTTCATTTCTGCTTGCCATCCCCTGTGATATATATCTGTGGGGGTGGGGGTGGGCTCGGTTGCTGGTTTCTGTAATCCCAGGGACTGCTCTTCTCTTTTGGGGTGTTGGAAGAAATATCCATCTGGTTCTGTTCCAAGCCAGGAAGAAGACATTGGAAACATGGAGGCTGATTGGAAAGATGGTTTAATGAAGCAGAACCACTGGGTTCTGAGCAGCTGTCCACAAGGAGTTGAGAATAGGCGGGTATTTTTATCTCCTCTTGACCTTTGCACTTGAACTTCCTGTTCCTGTGCAAGAACATGTATTCTATTGGCTGTTGTCAGACTCACATGGGGCCATGTACAAATCCTAGGAGTTTGTCTGAGCTAAGTTTGGTTGAAGTTTGGCTGATGCAATGAAGGGGCTTTTGGGGCAATTCCTGTTGTAGCTACCTTTGTGCAGAGCCAGACCTTTGTGCAGGGAGTTTGCTTATGAATAGAGCTCGCTATTTCTTTATCTCCTAAGTTCAGACATCTGCTGAGGGCCATCAAGAAAGGTGGGGGGTCTTCTTTCTGTCACCAAGAGCACGTTTCTCCATTTCTCATCCAGGGAAAAATAATATTCTGCCTTTTTAATATTTCTCAAAATATTTTATTCTTCTAGGGGAGGGGTGGGTGCTAACTTTCAACAGGGGCATCTGCCTCGGAGCATCAAACTTCTGGGTTACTTCAGGAAGGAAGAACCAGGAGAATCTGCTTTGAAGACGTGCAGTGGAAAAAGCTATTGGCCTCGGATGCTGAGGCTAGAGGGTCCCTGTATACAGAGTGAATGACTGGTTTTATCTTATTTGTTTTCTGAAGGTTACAGTTCGGCCATTGGGAGGGAGGTGGGGGGGGCTTGTTTTACACATAGGCTCTGGTGTAGGGGCAAAATTTGGCCAATCTTCCAATTCCCTGCTTGAATCAATTCTCAGTATTTGCTGCTTATTTTTAATTAAGGCAGCTGCAGATGCAAACAGCTTAAGGATCTGCCTTAGTGATTTCTAAGCAGGAAAGGAGTCTTCCTGAGTCCTGGAGGGAAGAAGGCAGAAACAAAAGCTAGATTAAGTTTGTGGCTGGAGAAATTCCATGGTTTTCCTGTCTGATATTTCAGCGCCCAAAGAGAAATGCATCCTGTTTGGCCACAGAGCCCCACCCGCTTAAAATGTATCAACCTTTGAGATGGGTGGACTTCAACTCCCGGAATTCCCAGCCATTATGGCTATTGCTAAGAATTTGGGGAGCTGAAAGTCACACATCTCAATGCTACCCATGTTGGGAAATGCTGTTTTGAGGCAATGATGCAGCACAAAATTGCCTGGCATGAATGCAACAACTTGCTCTGACCCCCCCCCCCCAACATTTGGAAAGAGTTTCTTGGCCAGGGAATTCTTTGCAGCCTGAAATTTGCAAGCAGAGCTACAGTGGATTTGGGCATTTAGCCCAGCCGAGTAATCAAATGGTTGAAATTGTGTGTGTGTGTGTGTGTGTGTTTTAACCCCTGGGGAATTATTACTCCTAAATTTAAGCCTGCATTTGTTCCTCTTGTTCAGTGATGGGCGGACACCATTTGCATCCTTATCAGCCTCTGCAGATTTCAGGCAGTAATTGTGCCCCAAACAACCCTTGGCGTCATTTTCAGTGCTCGGGACAGATAGATTGACAGGCCTGGCTCTGCTGCAGACAGAGAGTTTATTTAACCCAACCTTCACCTTTGTCCCACTCTGGAAGAAGTTGCTGTTGTCTGCCTCCTGCAGCACAAATTCTGGAGATGACACACTGCTTCGGTTTCCCTAAAGCAGGGGTGTCAAACTTTATTTATTTATTTATTTATTTATTTATTTATTTATTTATTTATTTATTTATTTATTTATTTATTTATTT